TGTGCCTTCCCCCCCCCCCACACACACACACACACACAGTCAGTGAGGACTTGCCATCTACTTCCATTAGACATTGCATGTACTTGCTGAGGAACATCATCACCTATGTTCTTCACTAATGATGCTTCTAGACTTCACTGTAGGTGAATTAGCATTGTACCAGTCAAATTAAGTTTGGACTTTGACTTTTGCTCTTGTCTAAATTTCTTTCCAGTGTTCTTAGAAACATTTTGAGCTAAAGGTTTGTGCTTAAATGCTTGAAATGACTTAGCAGACAAATATAAACTGTTTTTGTTTTTGATTTAGTTTTTTAATGTTCACCAAGGTTGCATTTATAAAAAATAAAAAAAATTCAGTAAAAGCAATAATGTTGTGAAATATTTTTACAATTTAAAATAACAGTTTTCTACTTTTAGTACATTTTACAATGCAATTTATTTCTGTGAGCAGTCATTATTCCAGTGTTTAGTGTCACATGGTGTCCTTCAGAAGTCATTCTAATATGCTGATTTGCTGCTTATGAAACATTTCTTACTATCATACATTTTTTTTGAGAAATCGTCATCCTTTTTAGATTCTTTCATGATTAAAAATATCAGCATTTTTAATTGAAATCTTTTGTCACGTTTGGTCAGTTTAATGCGTCCTTGCTGAATAAAAGTATTAATTTCTCAAAAAAACAAACAAACAAGTTACAGACCCCCAACTTATAAATTGTGCCTTTGTTAAGTACAAAAATATTTTGTTTTTATTATTTTATTTAATTATTTAGTTTATATCTCACAGCAACTTTATTTCTCATGGCTGTGACTTTATTCTTTGTAGTTGCGACTTTTTATATCTCTAATTTCTGACTGTATATTTCCTAATCTGTTTTTATACTTCACAATTGCAACTTTTCTCTCCTAACTGCAACTGTATTTCAAAATGTGAATAAATTGTAGGTACAACTTTATAACTCACAATCTGTCACTGTGACTATCTCATAAATTCTCATGAAGTTGGTTAAGTGATTGCTGACTGAGTAAAGCTGTAGAAGCAAAGGGTGTCGACTTTGAGAAAGTTAAAATATAGTGTTTTTTGTCATTACATACAGTAATTCAGTTAGTGTTATCTCATTGCTTTGATGGCTTTCCCATTATTATAAAATGTGGAAAAACAGTAGCAATAAAGAATGAGTAGGTGTGTCCAAATTTTTGGGCTGGTAGTGTATGTCACGTATGCCACCCATGAGTCAGATATAATGCATATGTATATAGGTAGTAATAGCAGTCTTTTTGAGGTGCTGTATGTATATTTTTGGCACTTTTTCCTCTCTCTTTCAGTCATTTTGCAAGATTTCTCTTTGATTAGCTGCTCTAACAGGATCCCCCTTCCTGTCTTGGTTTACCCAGTGGGAGGGACCTGCATTCAAGTACACAGTCACACCAACTTTGGCACAAAAACAACTTAATTGCTAGTTTTCAATTGACAGCGAACACGTGAACAGAGGTTAGGTAATTGAGGAAACTGTTAAATATTTTCGTAAGATGGTAGGGCATTTTTTCCCCCTCGCATTTTTCTCTTGTTTGTTTCTAAATCTGTACATGGAAGTTACGGTAATTGTTGCTGAGGTACAGCCCACCTTGCACACAGTTATGGATGTGATTTGCTAGAAATATTCCTATGAATCTAAAACAGTCCTTCTGAGGTTTGCTAAAACTGAAATACACTGAATATCAACAGAACATGCTAATTTGGTCACAAACTCACAGACATGCAAACATTTAAAGTATGTACAAATAAAAACAAGTAGCTGTTTGTTTTATCTATAGAGTGAAGGACTATGGATGGAGGTGAAAATGAGTGTTGAGATATTTAAGACAATCCTTACTGTGGTTTAAAGAGAAGGATGTCTTGCTTTTTTGGGAGTGAGGTTTGTGGTCTCCTCACTGAAGAAACATCTACTATGTGGTTATGCAGCTTCTTTTAGTTACTTGGCATTTGACATATGGAGTTATTCAGGACTTGAGATCTTCCTGTGGCTTTGTGTTACAAAGTTGGCCATAAGAAGTTTAAGTGTGTGTGAACAGATCAAAATTTGAGATCCACTGTCAAATGATAATAGCAACTTCATGTTTACGATATGTTACTTAACCTTTGTTAAAAGTAAATTGTATGTATCGACACTTGTCTGTTTTATATGTTGGTATACTAGACTGAACTTCAGATGAGTCTCCTCTACTCATGTATAGAATATATATATGTATATATATATATATATATATATATATATATAAAAACAATAAGTGAAAGTATACTTGAAATCAAACAACTAGAAAAATGTTTTAGCATCAACCACTTTTACAAACACACGTTTTTTTGTGAGTTTTATATATGAATGTGTGTGTGTGTGTATATATATATATATATATATATATCTATCTATCTATCTGTCTGTCTGTCTGTCTGTCTGTCATCTACATATATACTATATCAAAATGTATAAACATTTAAATTGTTTATAAAAAAGTCACACTTTTGTGAAAATATATTAGAAAACAAACAACTAGAAAAAAAGTCAGTTCTGCTGCATCTGCATTTATGTGAAATGTGTTGAAATAAAGATGGAGAGATCTGTGGGAGGGATGTAGAAGTGATGGAGGGAGGGGGAGGAGAGGGACAGAGTGTATGTTCAACTCTCTCCTTCATTCATTTTCCTTCAGTCCGTGACTGACGTGACTTACATGTGACTGCCAGGTGAGTGAACTTTGACTTTTAACTCACTGGTGCTCTTTATCTGCTTGGGTTCCTAATGATGTTCTTAAAAATGTGCTCTCTGTCTCTCTCCTTCTCTTCTAGTGCATGCTTTATGTCATAATGGGTTTTATTTATTGGTTTATGAATAAATACTGGGATGTGGTAAAATATGTTATGTATATACATTGATATCTATTTGTATCTCTAAATATGTGTCTCCACATAGAGATGGTAATTAGAAGTAATAGAGAAGTAATAGCTAGTTATTCCTGTTTGTTGTTGGATACTTATATAATCATGTTGCTATTTATGCACACAAACTGTAGACCCTTGTTTTTCTTAATTTTAACTTTCCTGTTAAATTTTCCTGTTATCATACCTCTACTAAACGTTTCTTCCATCCATCACATGCTCTAATGCAATATGCACAAATCTGTGGGGTGAACCTCACAAAAACCTGCAAAGACGATGTCTGGGTCATATAAATGAAACCAGAAATAAAATTTTGGATTTAGCTTCAAATTTAATTTAATTTAAAGTAGATTGGCCGGATATCGTCCTCTTTTGGAAGACCAAACAAAGTAGTTTCGCTTTCACAACGAAACACACAGCGTCTTCACGACATGGCGGCAGCAACAATACTACAGCGAGAATAAAAGTTATGCCTTCTTTCTTTGCATGAACATTTGGGCGGCGTTATGCAAATCTTCCCACGAGCCGTTTTAGATAGGCGTGGTTGAGTCTTAACTTTTATAAAGAATATCTCTTTGGATTTGAAACTTTAGTCTTTGCAACTTTACAGATCTTCTTTATGCACCAAGAGCTTGTAACACTCCAAAGAGAAAGGACAAATTGAAATCGCATCATATGACCCCTTTAATTTAATTTAATTTAATTTAATTTAATTTTTTAATTGTGTAGGTAATGTCATAATGCAAAAAACCCAATGATCTTTAAATAGTCTTAATTGTCTTTATGCAAATTATTGTTATTATAAATGTTATTGTATTATAAATATAATATAAATATTGTATATATTAGGCCGTTATAATATTTGTTACGTTTTCTTCTTTTGATTTTTAAGTGAAATGGAAAAATTGAAATCGCATCATATGACCCCTTTAATTTAATTTAATTTAATTTAATTTTTAAATTGTGTAGGTAAAGTCATAATGCAAAAAACCCAATGATCTTTAAATAGTCTTAATTGTCTTTATGCAAATTATTGTTATTATAAATGTTATTGTATTATAAATATAATATAAATATTGTATATATTAGGCCGTTATAATATTTGTTACGTTTTCTTCTTTTGATTTTTAAGTGAAATGTGGGACCCTGTTAGATTAAAAAAAAGTCTTTCCACTTTATCTTTTTAATGGAGCTATTTAATGTTCTGCTCATTAAAAGAGTATTTTAAACCTTTTCTTTAAAAAGTATTTTTGCTAAGTATGTCCTGATAAACACAGATAAAGAGGCTGTTTTATTTCACATGTAGTGGGTCACCTCATGGAGGCTGCCATTTTGACATCACATGACCTGCTTAATTTATCTCTGTAACCCACTCAATGCAACTTAAAAACTACTGGTAATTTCATTGTGTAGTTAATTTAGTAACAATGACACTCCTTGTTTTCTATTCCAGAAGCCTCACCTCTGTGCAATCATGATTCGGGCCATCTGTCCCATTTGTGTTCTTGTCTTTGCGCTCCTCTTTGTGTGCATGGATGCACGTCCCGAATCGCCAGGCCGCTCAAGGCGAGCTCCTGCTGCCAAAGTGCGACTGGCAGGTATCGGCCACAGAGAAAACGAGGGACGAGTTGAAGTCCTGCACAGTGGGACGTGGGGCACCGTATGCGACGATGAGGTCGACATTAAACTCGCTAATGTGGTTTGCAGGGAACTGGGTTTCCAAAGTGGCATAACATGGGCGCACAGTGCCAAGTACGGAGAGGGAGAAGGTGAGTGAATTTCTCTGTTAAAATACATGAACTGTGACTTATGAATCTTTAATCACCCTCATCTATCCTCATTTACTTACCTTCATGTTGTTCCAAACCTGTGTGACTTACTTTCTTTGGGAGACGTTTAGCAGAATGTCTGTGCTGCTCTTTTTGATAAATGAAAATGAACCGAGGGCCATCAAGCTCCAAAAATGTTTTTGGGTGAACTATTGCTTTAAGTATTTTAAAGAGTTGCTGTCTGAATAGCTTAGGTTTAGGAGTTTTAATCTCTGTTATTTTCACATTTAACTGTGGATTACGTGAAAGACATGAGCACAGTTGTGTAAGAAGGCACAATGCTGTTTTAAATAGCTGTTTCTCACAAGTGCAAGTGCACAGAGCTACTGTTCTTTACATCGCCCAAATCGCTCCCTGTAATTTCACTTTAAGGCAGCTATAAAGACAGCCACTAACCCAAAGCATGTATAACACTTAGTTGGCAAGACAACACTGTCATTAAAACTAAAACAAACCCTTCAGACAGCTTCACCAGAGCTCTTTTGTAATGCTTTTGATGGTGATGCTTCTGTCCCATATTAACTTGTATTGTGTACATGAAGTCTGCAGACTTCAACTTTATGCATATGTATTATGTACAATTTCTTTAAAAAAAGTGTTTTTTATGATATTTATGGAACAGCTGGTAGTGGCTTGTTTAAGGTAACAGTTCATCCAAAAACTCTGTCATTATTTACTCATCCTCTCATTGTTCTAAACCTGTATGACTTTCTTCTGTGGAACACAAAATAACTTTAAATAATGATAGTTTTTTTTAATTTTTTATTCAATTACAATGATTTGAGACTGAAACTTTTAAACTTAAAAAATGACAAAAAGTACCATAAAAGTATCATAAAAGTGGTCCATGTAACTTGTGTTGCATTCCAAGTCTTTCAAACCCATACAATAACTCTATGTGATGAACAGACCAAACTGTAAATCATTATTCGTTGATAATCTTTTCCTTGAATGTTAAAAGAATAGTTCACCCTCAGGTCATCCAAGATTTGGAGAAATTTTGCATTACATCAGTTTCTCACCAATGGATCAGTGAATGGGTGCCATCAGAATGAGAGTCCAAACAGCTAATAAAAACATCAGAATAATCCACCACAATTCTTCAGCCCATCAATTAATGTATTGTGAAGTGAAAAGCTGAATGTTTACAATAAACAAATCAATCATTAAGATGCTGGTAACCTCAAACTGTTGCAAAGTCATCTTGTCTGAATCAGGAGAGAAATACACACAGATCACATGCTGTTTACAAGTAAAAACAGTCCAAAAGCATTCTAAACTAATATGGTTTGATTTTGATTTTGATTTTGATTTGAAGGGACAATGGGGGATGGACTTTTTCACTGGAGGAATTTAGGAAGCATTATAATTATGGATTATGGATTAACGCTTTATGATGGATTTGTTTCTTACAAACATGCAGCTTTACACTTCACAAGACATGAATAGATGGACTGGAGTCATGTGGAATACTTGTGGATTATTGTGATGTTTTTATCAGATGTTTGGACTCTCATTCTGACGGCACCCATTCACTGCAGAAGATCCATTGGGGAGCAAGTGATGTAATGCTCCAAAGTTCTCCAAATATGTTCCAATGATTAAACAAACTCATCTACATCTTGGATGGGCTGAAAGCGAATAAATGTTCAGCAAATTTAAATTTTTGGGTGAATAATTGCTTTATACAACTCGAGAACCGGATCAGTCTGAAAAGTCTGAAGGTCATTGTGGTTTGAAATGACATGAGGGTGGTTGGATAATGACAGAATTTTAAATGTTTTTTTTTTTGGTTGAACTATCACTTTAAGACACATAACTGATGTTTTATGTTCCAGTGCTTTTGTAACCTGTAACATCTGTCACAGGCCCCATTTGGATGGATAATGTGAGGTGTGAAGGAACGGAGAAAACTCTGAAAGACTGCAAGTCGAACGGATGGGGTGTTCATGACTGCAAGCACTCTGAAGATCTCGGGGTGGTCTGCAGTCCAGAGAGAAGGCTGGACCAAGTGCATCCTGGAGTCACTAGAAGAGGGCACACCATCTCTCTCAGGCCAAACGCAGTCACCTCGAACCGTTGGCAGGACATTTACTCCAGTTCAAGGACACCTGCACATCTCAGACCAGGCAACGGACATTCCCAGGATCATACCAGATGGGATCAATTCTCCAGACAGCAGTTTCATAATCCGGTAAATAGAGATTGTAGTAGACCTGAAAATTCTTTTAATACATATGTAATGCATCTCACCTGCATTTTCTTTAAATTTAGTTTGTTAAACATTTAAATAAAGAGTTTACTCATCTTCATGTCCTTCCAAACTTGTATGACTTTCTGTCTACTGTGGAACATATAAGAAGATTTTTTTAAAGAATATTCCTTGAAGACTTGGAACATAGTGCATAAGCTGCAATTGACCACTTTTTATGCTCTTATTGTACTTTTTGCCATTTTAATAACATTTACATATACACATGCCATTTCAGGACATAATCAAAGAACTCAGGGTTTGGAACAATATGAGGGTAAACAATGGCAGATTGTTTCATTTTTGGGTGAACGATTCCAATCGCAGGTTATGCTCATGAGAAAATTTTTTCAATCTTCCTCTAGTCTGCCAGTAGGGTGAAGATCGAGGAAGTCCGTCTCAAGCCGATCTTGATGGTTACAAAGAAGCGTGCTCTTGTTACGGAAGGTGTGGTGGAAGTAAAGCATGCTGGGAGATGGAGACAGGTGTGTGATAAAGGCTGGAGTCTGAACAGCAGCAGAGTTGTGTGTGGGATGCTTGGCTTTCCTGACGCGGAGCAGCCCAACATGAACACCTACAAGTGAGTCCTGCGCTTTTAATGAAATAAACAACATGAGCACTGGCATGAGTCTCTGAGGTTTTGGAGAGAATTAGTATCATATTAAAACCCAATATTTCGCATTAATTCACTGTTATTGGCTGATGTCAGTTTTGTTAAATTTCACTGTGTTAGTACAGGGCCTCCCAGAGTTTTAACTAACAACATAATATCCAGTCCTGCAGCTGCATGATTCTGGCCAAAAACTGCCCACTTGCACAGGAAACGACTGTCTGGCTGACATGTAGCAGACCTGTATCAACCAGCTACAGTTTTATTTTACATGCTGTTTATGTAAGGGTAAATACAGGTGAAAATATGTTAAATGCTACTGTAAAAAAAAAAAAGTGAGATCTTTTAACATTTTTAAAAAACTTTTTTTTGAACAATCATGCTTACACTTACTACTAAAGCTATATTTATTTAATCAAAAATACAGTAAAAACAGCAATATTGTAAAAAACTTTATAACAATATATTTTCTATTTTAATATCTTTTAAAAAAGTAATTTATGCCTGTGATGGTAAAGTTGAATTTTCAGCAGACATATACAGTGTTACATGATCCTTCATGATCCTGTCTTTTTTTTATCTTCTTTGCTTATTTGCTATGTTTGTTGGACCACACAGGGTGTTGTGATGATGATATTCTATGTAGACAAAGTTCATGTCTAAGCACTGGAAGATGTTTGTCTCTGCATATAGCAGAAAGTGAAAGATTCACCAACTCTTTTGGCTGGAATTGCACATCTGTTTTCCTTATCCTTGTTCCCCAGGCACCTTTCACAAACCTAAACACTTAACCAATGATTAAAAGATCTTTCAAACCTGCTGATGCTATCTGGATCTCAGCGTTACTGAAATGAACAGTCTGCTCAGAACGCTTCGTTCTAAGTGAGAAGTCTAATATCCCTGCTGATTGTTATTGGAAAGGGACATCAGTTTTAAAACCTTCCAAGTGTCTGTTGTTGGAGAAAGAGTTTCAGGTTTGTTTAATGATTTTATTGACATTGCCACCCTTGACTTTCTCCTGCCTCCTCACAGAATGTTTCCCTGAACAGTGTTCCCAACTGAGCTGTACTGTCTTTGTTGTCTCACTTGGTCAGTTCTTTTAATAATGTAAAGAGCAGTTTATTGTTGGGAGTTTCTGGACTTTGGCTATTATTCTAAAAAGGCATTTATGCAGGTTGTGTGCTGCATCCTCAGTTTTTTTATGGGTATATGCATATATTATATAACAGTTATTGTGCTGTGAAGTCAACTGGAGTTTGATGCCTACAGATTCTTCTTGCAGTGCGGCTTAGACAGGATACAGGATATGTGTATTTAGAACTCTATTCTAGAGCATAAATACAGGATCAGAGATGACAAGGTCCAGTACTGCTCTTTTTAGAAAAGTTATTTTCTTAGAGCAATTTTGTGCTCATATTTGTCATCTTTACCTACCTATGTACAGTATCAACCCATCTACCTACCTACCATTTCTTTTTACTAACCTACTTATTTACCTATCCATGCACCTACCCACATACTACGCATATACAATATCTACCTACCTCCCGATTTTCTTCCCCTACTACCTATCTACCATTCATTTTACCTACCTATATACCCACCTTCCTACCTACTTATCCACCTACTGTACCCACTAGATCTAGAATCTCCCTAGTTATTTTCTTCCCCTCATACCTACCTGCCTATCTTTTTACTATCCTACTTATGTTCCCACCAACCAATCTATTTGTCAACCTGTCTTTACCTTTCCACTTACATATCTACCCACCTGTGTATCTTTTTTAACTTTCTATTTACCTTTACCTACCTACCACTCAACCTTTTTGCCTACCTAACTACTTATCTAATGATCCGCCTACCTACTTACCTATCTATCTACAGAATCTAGGAGGTATCCTTACTTATTTTCTTCTTGTACTACCTACCTATTATTTACGATCCTACTTATCTACCTACCCACATACTTATTTAAAGGGATAGTTCACCCAAAAATGATAATTCTGTCATTAATTACTCACCCTCGTGTCATTCCAAACCAGTAAGACCTTTGTTCATCTTCGGAACACAAATTAAGATATTTTTGATGAATTCTGAGAGCTTTCTGACCCTGCATAGACAGCAACGCAACTAACACGTTCAAGGCCCAGAAAGGTAGGAAGGACATCGTTAAAACAGTCCATGTGACATCAGTGGTTCAACCTTAATTTTATGAAGTTACATGAATACTTTTTGTACGCAAAGAAAACAAAAATAACGACATTATTCAACAGTTTCTTCCGTTCAGTGTCAGTCTTCAATGCATGTTCATAATAGTATACCACGATGCATGCGTGTGGTGCTGCTGACGCAGGAGCCGGCGTTCTGACGTAGAACCCGGATGCGCTGCGCCTTGTTTACAAGCAGAGGAATGCACACGCATACGTCATGGTAGTCTCGTAAACGTGCATCAAAGACTGAAAATGGTTGCCTAATGGAACATGCTTACTACCTGCATTTCGCTTTCATTTGTTATTTCCTTTTCATAGTTGCCTCATTTTTTTACTTCTCTTATAGGAGGCTGCTGTGGTTAGGAGGTATTTTTTTAATAACCACACTCACAGCACAACTATTTGTTTCCCATCGTCTGAATGGGCTTTGGCCGTGCTGGCATGTTGACCCATGTGCTCGTTATAAAAAGCACCACCTTAATCTTATGGGTCTGCGGTCCCTAAGCTTTTTTTAGTGAAAGGTTTGTGCTGGGGCGTTGTTGTAAGTGTTGTACGTGCTTTCTGCTGATGATTCCTCTATGATTTGTGCCTGCTGTAGAACAATATGTCTTGATAAATGTGCTTGAGCGTTGAGCAATTTCCACGTTTTTGTGCTCTTAAAAAAGATTCTTACCTAGCAGATAAGACCGCTGACAGGTTAATGTTATCTCTTTTTAGGCTTAATGCCCTTTTCCTTGAGAATCCTAATCTTGAGGTCACAGGAACACCTAAGCGAGCTTTTGTTTATGCATGACTCAAAGACATGCCGCAAACAGCAACTCGAAGATGCTGTTTGAACTCAAATTAGAGCTTATAGAGCTAGCTGTGGCTTACATCCTAGGGAATCTCCATTTGGCTCCTTCTCCTCTGTGAGCGTGCCCAGCACCTGACCTCATCATGTCGTATGTGCATTTTGTTAAGTCTCCACAGAGCAGCAGACTTGGCAGTAGCGATCACTCAGGGATCGCGAGCCGGCCCGCCCTGACACTGCCTCTTCTGGATCCTCCGCTGAAGATACTGTAATTAACTGCTGGGCCACTCAGAAGATTTCCACGTTTCTGGCGAGTAAGGGAAAGGCAGATTACAATTATAGCTGCGCCCTTTGGCTGCTGTGTCAGCAGGACACACTCTGTCTGTCACCGAGGAAATTGAAAGGCTTAAGCCACAATTTAGGCTCAGATATCCTTAGATGAACATCTAAAGAAATGAAATACAATATTTTAACAAGTCTGACAAAGTCGAAACAGTGCCTCAGTCAGACTGTGTACAGAAAGAAAAATCACCTTCTGTGTTTATGGAGTTTGTATTGTGATGATTGGCTCAGTGTCATTTAATGGCAGGCTTTAAGCTTTATATTTTCAGTCCATTGATTATCACCTTTGGGGGTCAAACACTATAATCAGCCAAATGTGATCAAGTTCAGGGTGTTGGCATTCAGTGGTGTGGTGTGTGAGATTTTACCTTAATATCATGATTTTATTGTATCACGCATATTGAACAAGGTGAGACAAAAATAATTTTTCTTAAAGGCAATGGCTATATATTTGACCAACACAAACAGGAAATAATTGCTAAGGCTATATATGTATCCTAACTTTTCCAACTTTTTTTTTTTTTGGTAACATAATTTCACAAAAATGCCTTCCATACTGACACTGTCGTCTCAAGTCCACTAACTTTTGATAAAATATGCATGTTTAATATATATAATTGTTATTATTATTTATTTATTATTAAAACAACCCTGGGGACATAAAAGTGCCGGAAACGCTTGTATCCTTAATAGCTATATTGTGTAATGACTACAGACTCTTCTGGATCCTCCGCTGAAGATGCTGTAATTAAATGTTGGGCCACTCAGAAGATTTCCACGTTTCTGGCGAGTAAGGGAAAGACAATTATAGCTGCGGCTTTTGGCTGCTGTGTCAGCAGGACATACTCTGTCTGTGTCAATTGAGGAAATTGAAAGACTTAAGCCACAGTTCAGCCTCAGAGATCCTTAGATGAGCATCTAAAGAAATGAAAAACAATATTTTAACGAGTCTGATTCTGTCCTTTCAGTCTAAAGTAGTGCCCCAGTCAGACTGTGCACAGAAAGAAAAATCACCTTCTGTTTGTATTGTGATATTTGGCTCAGTGTCATTTAATGGCAGGCTTTAAACTTTGTATTTTTACTCTGAGTATCACATTTAGGGGTCAAACACCATAATCAGCTAAATATGTTCAAGTTTAGGGCACTGGCATTCAGTGGAGTAGTGTAAGAGATTTTTCATTATTTGCATGATTTGTATTGTATTATATCTCATATATTGTACAGGGTGAGACAAAATAATTTTTCTTCTGATCAAAGGCGAAGGCCAAATATATGATCAGCAACAAAACACTAAATAATTGCTAAGACTATTTATGTATCCTAGATTTTCATACTTTTTACAGAATTTTGCAAAAAATTAACCAAAATTATCTTTGTGTTTTTCACTTATCATGAGTCTCAGAATCTCAAGCATACTTTTTACTGACACTGTTGTCTCAAGTCCATAACTATTAAATAAAACTGTAAGAAGACTCTTTTTTTTTTATATAGTGTAAATATGTTTTTAATAAAAATAAATAAAAGTGCCTGTTGAAAGTTTATAAAAAGTAAAGAAATAAAATAAAACTTGCATCGTTAATATTGTATTATGTAATGTCTATTGAGATTGGTCCTTCTTCTGTGAGATATTTAGTATATATTCACACTATATCACAGATTAAAGTGCCCAATTGCTTAATAAATGCTTAAACAGCATGTTTCGTAAGATGTACTGAGAGAGAAAGACTTGTGTGTGTATGTGTATAGACTAATGCTTAAAACAGTGGCATGATTGTTGTCTCCAAACAGACCATCGCTCTCTATCATTAAGTTTTCTTGGTTCAGCAGTAAACCAAGGGTGGAACTCTTGGACTAATTACATGAGCAGGTGGGTATTTCAGTGCCAGCAACTGTAAGAACAAATGAAAAAACAGACTGGCATTGTCTGAAATATCTCTTCACATTCAGAGCGGCACATTTGATATATAAAAGAGCAACTTGGTATATAAAAAAAAAAAAAAAAACTTAAATTATATGCATCAAATAAGTTTATTTATTTATTGGCATGACAGCTGTAAAGGATCATTTTTAGGCTGCAGTTCTGCAGCTTTAGATCTACTATAATGTTACTGTGCTACAGAGTGTCTTATGGTAGAAACATCCAGAATATTTTATGAGGTCATTAAACTGGAGATTCCACACAGCATTTAAAGGTTGGTTGCTTTTCTGTTGACTGATATTCTCATTTGAAATTCATTCATTAAGACAGCTCCATCAGGAGAATGATTGTATCATTTTTTAAATTTAATTTTCCTATTTTAAAAGTGCATTTGATAAACTATTTTTTAGAGAGCAGTCAGAAAAACAGATTCAGCAAAATAAAAGTAGTGTGTCAAACATATATCCCATGGATTACCAGGCTAAATCCTCTGTAACTACCACATTTAGCTGGACAGACGGTGATGATGGCAGTGATGATTTCATGTGTCACAGGTGTGTTATAGAGGGCAGGTGTTCTTGGGTGGATCTCTCTCTCTCTGTCTCTCTGTCATTCTGAGTATAAGTTTGTCTCGGTTTGTTTTATGGGAAGTCTTACTGTGCCCATTCTGGGATACCAGCATGCCAGTGGAAATATCTGTTTATAGAATGTACATATTTGAAAGCCAGTTTAGTGGTAGATTTAAGTTAAAACATATGTGTATGTTCTTTGATGTCTCAGTCTGTGGGCCATACATTTTTATTATTATAAAAAAAGCAATGTAAATGGAAGAAACTTTAGTTTGGAGTGCTGACTGTAGCATTATCTTGAATAAAGACACAAATGGTAATGAAGATCTGGAACAGTGAGTTTTAACTGCCTGCTAATGATAAAACCTCATGTGGCCTATGGCTTTCTGTACATTTATATTGTTTTATTGCCAGTGTAATATTGTTATTTTTGCTGGTCAGTCTGGAGGAACAGCACCATAAATTGCACATTCTTTCTCAGCTCTTTTCAACTTTTAAAATGTTCTTATTTTTTTCATTTACAGAAAAATATGGGATGAGAAAGTCAAGGATTCAACAACCAGGTGAATTCAGTTGACTCTTCTTTGGCACTTATACTAAAACATATTGCTTTACCACACATCAGAGCATCTTCTTGTACTCTTAATTGAACTCTTAATGTACCACTGCTCTTGTGACATATAATGTCTCCTAGATTGAGTCAGATGACCAAGAAGAAGGGATTCTGGGTTGAGAAAGTACATTGCCTGGGCACAGAGCCCAGTCTGGCGGAGTGTCATGCCCAGCTGTCAATCCCTCGAAGCCCGGGCCCCTGTAAGAACGGTCGCCATGCAGTGGCCCGCTGTGTCCCAGGACCACAGTTTGCTCGTATGTCCTCTGGCAGACCCCAGGCACCTCACCCTGCAGAGGTAATCCTAAAAACATTTTGGTTATTCAGTTAATGACTGGCTTTAATGACTGGCAAAAATGAAATATTTATATTTTTTAATAAAAAAAAGTTTATCAGTCATCATAATTACATTTTAATGGGTTATACCGATTAAAAAAGTAAAATAAATTACAAAAAAATCAATCAACCAACCAATCAATCAAACCCCCACAAATAATTACTAGAATCAAATACGACCCTCATTATGCTGTTACTGAAATTAAAATATCATACTTTTAAAAAAAGTTTTAAAGAAAAAATACTGTTCTTGGCACACAACATAAGGAATGTAAATAATGTGTTATGATTTTTGACTTTTTGCACTGATCTTCAACCCTGTTAAACCCTGATGTCTTGCATATAATAGAATTAGAAATAGAACAGGCATATACACCATTGTTCAAAGGTTTGGAGTCAGTTTATTTTTTCTAAGTAAATTATTACTATTATTCAGCAAGGATGCATTAATTTGATCAAAAGTGATAGTAAAGACTGTTCACAGATTGTTAGATTGTTACAAAAGAACTTTCTGTTCATCAGCATTGATAATAATTAGAAATGTTTAATTAGCACCAAACCAGCATATTAGAATTATTTCTGTTTCATGTGATGCAAATAGAAAACAGTTATTATAATTGGTAATATTTCACAATATTTATAGCTTTTACTGCATTTTTACTGCAAATGTCACGAGTTACATTTCTTTTCAGTTACATTTAGTGATTTTTAAGTTTAGTTTAGTTTTCTTTTTTAACAAGAGACACTGAAACTGAGTGATGCTACCATAAAGTATTTAATTTTATGTATAGGAACCTTACTGTTAGGGGGTTTAAATAATGTAGTGCTTTAGTTAGGCTTAGCAGTTTGCAAAGCTATAACCACATATTTAAGGTTGGGGCTAATATTATGTAAGAATCAGTCTATGAAAACCCATATTTGTCGACCGCTAATCTGCAGATTGGGGAAGGCATGTACCCCACTGGTGCTCCCCAAATGTCTGTTGTGGTTAAAACCCTAGTACTTGAAAATGTAACCTTGTCAGTCTTTCTTCCCATCTCATAGCTGTCAGTGCGTCTGAAGGCAGGACCACGTCTGGGAGAAGGAAGAGTCGAGGTTCTCCGTGAGGGAAAGTGGGGAACCGTGGTTGACCACCGGTGGGACCGGATCTCAGCCAGCGTGGTGTGCAGAGAGCTGGGCTTCGGCACTGCCAAAGAGGCTCTTACCGGAGCATACATGGGTCAAGGTGGGAATTAATTTAAGCTTGAATGATCCCATGAGGGCGAGTAAAAGATAGAATTTTCATTCTTTGATGACCTGTTCCTTAATCTGCTTTGAGTCAATATGGTGTTTATAGGAAGAAGGTGATTCATAACTACGAACGTGATTATGATCATACTGAGTTTGCCACATGATTCCACAGTAGTCTGAGTCTGAACTTAATTTGTAAGCACTGCTTATCTATAGGATATGCCTGTCTGCAGCTGAATATGAAACCGGTCAGAGATTATGCTTTACATAATGCGATATCACACTCTCCAGGTGCAAAACATGAATTCCACATCAGTGATGATGCTTTAAGGCAAGGAACTTTCCCTGAACTTTCTGTGGCTCAGATCCACACTGCATGTGAGTTTACTTTGGCTGAGTGACAAAGTTCACCGCTGATCTGTATTCCAAGGGGAATCGGTCCAATCTGACAAGATGGGATAATTGCTCTGCCAAACAGAAGCGATGACAGTAGCTATTTATTGAAGACTTCCCAATATTGCTCTGATGAAAAACACAGCTGCAATGTTTCACAGTTTTTATTTAAAGAAAGGAAGTGAAAAGGGTTTTGACTCGTAAATGTTTTATGATTTATCAGGTGCCACCGTTCAAAGAAGTGAAAGAATGACATGTTGATTTATGGATAATGATGATTTTAGGGGCCTGTTATTTTGAAATATATATGCTGTACTGCACCGGTAGTGACCCATATGAGAGTCCAGACACTTGAAATGAACCAGCGTAAGGTTGATGCTTTCATGTTTTGAAAATAGTCCAGTCAAGGTCTCAGTTTAACTTGCCAAGTGCCAAATACTGTAAGTACAAGCAGTCTTTGATGTGTTACTTGCCGGTTGGCTGATAACTTTATTAGAAATTCTACTTTTACATTTCAGTTTAAAGCAACCATAGTGCCTGTTAGCTTGAACAACTTTTAAGTTTATTTCTTGTAGTAAGCAAGCTACACTACTATTCAAAATTTGGCGGTCAGTAAGTTATTTTTTTTTTTTTGAAAGGAATTTATTCTTTTATTCAGCAGGGATGCATTAAATTGATTAAAGGTGAACGTTTGTAATATTACAAAATATTTCTATTTTATGACAGTATTTTACATCACAATATTTTATTAATCACAGAATCTTTATTTTTCTTAATTAAGCAGCACAGCTGTTTTCATTATTAATAATAATAATCAAATCAGCATATTAGAATGATCTCTAAAAGGTCATGTGACACTGAAGACTGGAGTAATGATGCTGAAAATTATATATTAAAATAGAAAACAGATATTTTAAATTGTAAAAAATATTTCACAATATTACTATTCTTACTGTGTTTTTGGTCAAATAAATGTAGGCTTGGTGAACATAAGATACTATTTTAAGAAACATAAAAATATATTACTGACCACAAATTTTGGAATATGTAAGACTAAAAAATTAGAATCTAAAATTTTTGTGACTGGATTATTTTTTATATCAGGTAGATCATGTGAGTGCTATAACAGCTGAATAACTCTCGTTGAGACAAAAAATATATACATTTTAAATAAAACAAATAATGCAAATTACAATTTATTGGTGATTAAGAAATAGTTTTGGTTGGAATAAATTCTCAATTCAACAAGGTGTGATGGACAAATATTTTAGAAAGTGACTCCACTTGCTGATTTCTGAATTTAGCCATTTGGATGAAGTAACAGGAATAGAAATCAAAGCTTATGATTTCTGCACGCCCGTATCTTTGAGGTCTTTAGGTATATTTATTGTCGTGTATAATTTTCCTAGTGCAGCCGAGGCCACAAAAACATATAGTGAGTGAAGAGAGACACACATGAGCTTTTCAATGACAGAACAGAGCTGGACTGTTTGGGACAGGCGGTAAAAATAGGAAATCTGTTGAGATGGGCTACACGTACCAGACTGTGGTTACCACTTTTAGAAATGATCCTGAATAATGGTGTTGGTACAGTGTTCATTGCACTGCCTGATTTTCCAGACATTTAATGTAACAGAGAAAATTCATCTAAAACTGAAAAATCTGTCATTTACTCAACCCTCATGTCCTTCCAAACCTTTCTTTTTCTTCTTCTGTGGAACACGAAGAAAGATATTTTTAAGAAAGTTGGGGTCCAAACAACATGGACACCAATGGACTTTCATTTTAAAGTCAAATGTTTTTCAAAATATCTTATTTTATGTTCCACAGAAGAAAGAGCCATACAGTTTTAAATTGTGTCATTATTTACTCTTATTTTTGGGTTAACTAACTATCCCTTTAATATGCTTGAAGATGTGTTGTCATTGTGGCTGTATTGTGGATTTTTTGAGTTTGATCATGGAGTTGGCATGAACTCTGTATGACAATGTAGATGTTTTTAAAGCCAGTGCAGCATGAAGCAACACATTCTGCTGAGACGTTCTCTAAGCCTGACCTCGCAGTAAGATGAAAGTAAACCTATCTTTCCTGAAGTTCCTAGATGACTTCATGTCTTGAGATTTGTTTGAATGCTGTATCAGCCGGTTTTACTTCAGTTAGACACTATAGATGAGGAATTTCAAGTCACGTTCACACTTTACAGGCAAAACATATAGCATAGACTTTTCTTTTTGTATGCAGCAGTCACTAAGTTTTTCCTCTGGCTTCGAACTGATGCTGACATTGCACTTGGCTGAGAGAAATATTTCTTATATAGCAATTTAATCTGCTCCTAAAATAGGGATTATAGTCATCCCATGAAAGGAAAACACCATTAATGCGGAATATATATGTTGTTTTATTTTAGGGAGAAGAAAATGTAAATTTTCCGTAAACCACACTCTAGTGAAACTGTTCAGTGCAGTCGGTCACAGAACCTCTCCCTTTCCATCAGCCACTTCTGGACTACTTAGTCTTTGCTTCTATTTTCCTGTTATTTACTTGTCGTTTTGTGCATACACTGTTTTTGTATGTATACTGAGATTTATATTTACATTTTTTCTTTAAAGAAATGTAATTTTTTGTAAAATGCGTTTTAAGTGCTAAAATGCATAAATTGATCAAAAGTGACAGTAAACACTAACATTTCTAATGTTAAAAAATTTATATTTTAAATAAATTATGATGCTCTTTCTATTCATCAAAGAATCCTGAAATATAATGTCAGTTTCCACAAAATATAATAACCAGCACAACTGTTTTCAACATTGATAATAATATCACAACTGTTTTCAACATTGATAATAAGACATGTTTTGAGCACCAAATCAGCATATTATAATGATTTCTGAAGGATCATGTGACATTGAAGATGGAAATAATGACTGCTGAAAATTCCACTTGATATCACAGGAATAAATTACATTTGAACATATAATAAAATAGAAAACAGTTATTTTAAATTGCAATCATATATTTCATTTGATCATATTTTAATCAAATAAATGTAGCCTTGCTGAATGTCAGGATGTACTGATATTTATATTTTAAGTGTAGTAGCACACGACACAATGAGGAAAAGTTTTGATTGAGCCATTTAAGTTCGAATCATGATGTCATCATGCTGTTAACAAGAAAAAGTGAACAAAATTTAAATGTCTCATGCATGTCTGTTTTTTTTTTTTTTAGTCAGTCAGTGGGTTTTTCAGTGACTCTTGCTCGGCCCCTAATCTTTGATTACATCCTTGATTATATGTAATATTCTCTGTGAGGGAACATTTCCATATTAACCCTCAGGGTTTTAGCCAATCTCTAGCAATTTGCTTCCCAGAAGCGAGGCTGAATAGGGTGCTGTGTTTGCTTTTGGGCTCTATCATTTTTGTTTCAAAACTAAACAGCTGGTCATGATTTCTTTGCTCTGGTAGAAATAGGACTTTTTGAATTTAGCCGAGCACAGTGCAGTAGCACGTAACCACTGTTTTTCCACAGCAGTTCATGTAGCTTTCTACTTCATTTACCCTTATTTTCCCCAGCATGTATTTCTGAGATTGGGAAAAACTATATAATTGAATAAAATAATAATGCTGTGGTATATTTATGCTGTGTAGTTGATTTCACATCCTTGTGAGATTTATATCTGAAGTTTTAGCACAGTGCTCACGTTAGGCTCTGATTTACTCAGGCTGAAACAACCAATGTTTTTATGCCACAGTATACAAGAGGGAAATGAACTGTGATATGATCAGATATGCAGTCAAGCTCTTTTATATCCATAGAACTTCAAGAATGTGATGATAATGATTTTACAAAATAAACACATCTGATCAGATTCATGTGTGGCCTTCTGGTGTATGATGCACTCTCAGAAAAAAAGGTACAAAACAGTCACTGGGGCAGGATACAAAAGCTAAAAGATACATCTTTGTACCATATTTAACCCTAAATAGCACACTACAGTATTTTAAAAGTATGGGCATATTAGCAGTGCTAGTAATTTATTACATGCAATCTGGATTAAGTAATCAGATTACAAAAATGATGTACTTGTAATTAGATTTTAAAATGCTCATAATCAGATTACAGTTACTTTTATTTTATACATTTGCTTTTATACATTTGTAAAGTCTTCCAACATTTCATCAACCCACAAACCCCCTGTAGTTCTTTCATGAACTCCAGTTTAGGAAACCTTGGCATAATGTAATGTTTAATACACTTCATGATGCTGATAACAAAGAATGGAATATATTTAAGGCCAAAAGTAATCTAAAGGCAGGGTTTGAAATGAACTTTTTCACTCACCAGCCAATTTGGCTACTAAATTTTTAAGTTACCGGCCATTCACTAAAGGTAATCAAAAAGTAGTCAGAATACATTACCTAATTTGTATAATCCAATAGATTACATTTCAAATTACAATTTCTGTTATGCAATTATCAGTAACAGACTCCAATTTGTAAGTAATCTACCATAAAGTGTACATATTAGTACCTTTTAAAAGGTACCGCCCCAGTGACAGAGCTATGGAGTGAAAACACAGTGATCCTCTATAGATTTACATCAGTAAAGAACAATATTTAGTCTGTGAAAATGGCGGACAGCATTTTTTTAAGGCGATGTTTAGGAAAGGGTCAATTAGAAAGTATCTAGTGTTCTCTGTGGCTGAAAGTACTCAAATAGGCCAAGTGTTTGTTATTTTGTTTTATATTTGTGAAGCGCCAGTGACATTTACTGTTTGTTTGTTTGTTTTACAGGGACGGGGCCGATCCACATGAACTCAGTGCAGTGCACTGGCACAGAGCGCTCCATTTTGGATTGTTACTTCCAGGAAGTCCCTCCCTGGACATTCAAACACAGCCAGGATGCTTCTGTCAAATGCTATGTTCCTAAGACAGGCTTTGAGACCACGGTAAGCAAAATTATCACAGGTTACTCTGATATGATTCTACATGCTGTGAAAACTATGCCCACTCCTGTCATTCATGCTGTCTGCACAGCCTCCAAAGATGCTTGGATATTTAAGACGTTTACATTATATAATAATTTATTTTGGGTTTATTAAGAATAAATATGCGCAATTAAAATGTCTTTGTATTGTATAGCATTTATTTTTTATAAATATGCAGACCAAATGTCTTTATGCATTATAGGGTAATTACTTTAAAAGTACACACATATTTTTTGCAATAAATGGCATTTATTTTATATACGTATACAGATTTAAAATGTTTTTTTTATTTATATGATGCCTTTTGACATTTATTTTAAATATGCACACTTAAAATATCTTTGCATTATGGCATTTATTTTAAATAAATATACAATCTTAAAATGTCTTTGCATTTATGTAATGCATTATATAGCAGTTATTGTATATATGCACAAATAAATGTTTTTGCATCGAATGACGTTTCATTAAAATAAATGTACAGACCTAAAATGTATTTGCAGTGTATAATGCATTGTGTGGCCATTATTATATTTCATATATTATATCATGTTTTAAATATACACAATTTAATGTTTTACATTAAATGCATTTATTTAAAATAAATATACAGACTTAAATATCTTTGCATTATATAGTGCATTATATAGCAATTATGAATTTTTGCATTAAATGACATTTATTTTAAATAAATATACTTAAATGTCATAAGGCATTATATAACCCCAAAACATTTTATTTTAAATATTCACGCTTTGTCTTTACATAATATAATGCATGATATGTCATTTATTTAAAATTTATTTGAAGTTAGTTCTGAGAAAATCTCTAGCATATGCCATGACATTTTGACATTTTTAAATGTGAGGTAAGTGTCCAAAAGTGTTCAAATACTCCTTGAGGGCACTGTATGTGTAGTTTTGATGTCTGTGAGCGTGTTTGTGTTTCAGGTGCGGTTGGCGGGCGGCAGGGACCCGGCTGAGGGTCGTGTAGAGGTGCTCATGGAGGTGGGGGGCAGAAAGCGCTGGGGGACGATTTGCAGTGAGAACTGGGGAATAAATGAAGCCATGGTGGTATGCCGGCAGCTGGGCTTTGGTTTCGCCGCACGGGCCCATCAGGTGAGACTGCTGAAGAATGTTGTGTTTTCCAGTAATATCGCTCTGAATATGTCTCTTGTCTTGCTTGCCTCGGTTTGTGTGCATTTGAGAGCTTCCTGTGCATGTTTAGGGGCACAGGGCAGGATATTTCTGGGCAACATTAGTGTTATACAGTAGTTGTTTTGTGGAGGTGAAGAGGTGGGACAGGTTAACGGTAAACTGTGTATTTTCAGACAGAATGGCAGGTACATTTGGTATGCGTCCTGCACATACTTCATCTGTTTTGAGCAATAGTTGAGAACAGGAATCAAGACAGTTATACTTTCAGGGCACATTGCTTACCTTAATACTGTCTCTCTACCACATGTGCAGTACTGTACTGTACTGCTTATGAGGTAAATCTCATAAAGAAATAATAAATCATACTTTTCATAAAGAAAATGAAACCCATTTTCAACATTTAATTTTATCCCAATTTTGGAGGAGTTGTGGGCTTCGTGTGTTCGCAGGCCAAACCTGTTTTATTAATCTTTTAAAACAACACCAGTGAAGTTGGCATTTGAAAGCCATCTATTCAGACGAGCTGAATAAACAGCCCCGTCAGCATAACAACAACTTCCTGTAAAGGGTGTTCTTCATGTAGGAGCAGTGAGGTCATTAGGCAGTGGTCCATAGTGAACCTTTGTTCTTCCCATGTTCACTAGCCAGCATGAAATGTAAGATTTTTACACATTCTGGAAAAAAATCAGCACAACTGCTGCCATGACTCTAGGGTGTTGTGGGTGGTTCCCAGTAGTGCTGGGTTGATTAATTATTAGGTAACTGATTACAAATTAGATGATGAGAATTGTAGTCTGTAACGTAATCTAGATTACTTCGTTTAGGTAACGTATTCTGACTGCTTTTGGATTACTTTTAGTTTACTTGTAGGGATGCACGATATTATCGGAATCGGCCGATAATGGCTTAAAATTATGACGATATGCTTTGCCGATAAGACGGATAGCTCACTTATGCTCAGGGTGTGATAGTGATAAGATCACGTCAGCAGTGTGATCATTCTTAAAGGAACTTTTGCCTGAATGATTCACTGTTTTGGATCGCCGCATTTGATTTAAGAATGCACGTACAGAACGACGCCTCCGATGTGCGATAGAGTCAACAGTCACTAGCACGTGCAGCAGCAGCAGCAGCAGCTTTCCCCGGTCCTAATCCCCGTCCTCAAGGCGTTTTATTTACTTAGGGGGCGCTGTTGGCCTACTTGTAATTATGTAAAATGCACAAATATCATTAAGATACTTGTGTTTCATAAAATCACGAGTCTGTTTTGATTTACAGGCCAGAACCTATGGTTTACATGAACAAAAATCACAAACACTTGTAAATTAAATAATTTAATATATACATTTATTCATTAATATGTAAAATATTTTTTCAAATGGATTATGAAAATTTATATACAATGTACTCTCATTAAATAATAACTATAATAATGTTTATTAGCTCTAACAAATAAGTTTTAGCAAAAAAATAAATATAAATATCAGCCATAATTAAAAACAATTTGTTTAAAATTTCTGCACGAGAGAGACTTGGTGTTGTTTCAAAACAAATGGAAATATATATCGGCTATCGGCCAAAAAGATTTGGAAAATATCGGATATCGGCAAAAATCTAATATTGTGCACTCCTTACTTTTGACCTAACTTGTTTATAGATTTAAATGGGATTATTGTTGTAAAAAAAAAAACTATGAGGAATAGTATTAATGATTTTTGTCTTGGTAATCACCACTGAATTATTCTGATTCTGCTGACATTCATTGATATGAATATGTTTGATTCAGGCATTATCACAGCATTGAAGTGTTCACACATTATGACCTCCTCACACTCAACGGAAGCCGAGTGGCCGAAGGACACAAAGCCAGTTTCTGTCTGGAAGACACCTACTGCCCTGATGGTAAAAGACTAATTGTGTATATCTCACAATTCTGAGAAAAGAAGTCAGAATTGTGAGATATAAAATTGCAATTGTGAGAAAAAGTCAAAATTGCCAGGTATAAACTTGCAATTAGGAGAAAAAAGTCCGAATTGCGAGTTTATATAATGCAATTCTGAGAAAACAATTCAGAATGGCAAGGTGTAAATCACAATTGCAAGAAAAAAAGTCAGAATTGTGAGCTCAAAAGTCGCAGTTACCTTTTTAAATGTTTTATTCAGTGGTAGAAACAAGCTTCCATAGGTTTACTACTGCAACTACACATAACTGTTTTTTTTTTCTTCAGGACTTCAGAAGCGCTTTTCATGTTACAATTACGGAGATCAAGGCATTTCGGTGGGTTGCTGGGACACTTACCGCCACGATATCGACTGCCAGTGGATAGACATCACTGATGTCAGACCTGGAGACTACATCATGCAGGTGAAAGGATTCAGAACATCTGAACTGTGGATGATGGCAGTTATGGCGTTAATTTAATGGCAAATGTCAAGAGCGCATTATTGTAGTGCGAACGCACATTAATATAATGCGCGAGCGCGAATCTCCCCGCTCGTCGCACGCGGATTTCCTTTGCTCTTGCACAAAACCGGACGTGTGCGCTCAGATACATGCTGCTCTCGCCCAGAGAGTGTGCGCACACTTAAAACCTGTCTCTCCTCTCACTCAAACTGTCCTGTGCACTCGCAAATCTCTCTGTGCTCATGCGCTAGATATTAATTCTTTTCGCACCTGAATTAAACGTTGTCAAATGTTATCAGCCAATCAGATTTCAAAGATGGATCTTGTAATTTCTTTATAATTTAATACTACTAAATCATAATAATCAAATATTAGAAATGAATCGGGTGCTTGGATTATTTGTAAATAACCTAGTTTAACAGTTTTTATGTGGTCATATAACCTATTGTGCACTTGGATTGAAATAAATAAATAAATAAATATTAAATAAATAATAATATTCTGATTAAGGACAGATTTAGATAAGGGTCAGATGCACTATTCCCTATACTTAAGATGTGGAGACCAAATATAACACTATAATGAATTTCCCATATTTGTCATAACATTACTACATTCTATTCTATGGGTTTAATGCATTTGCAGACAATGTAATTACTTGTAACTGTCATATAACTGTATATTCACTTTTTGAGAGTGTCATTGAATGTGTAGCTAATATAAAGTGGGTTTTCAAGACAAAAAAATCTAACTAAAATCAGAACTGAAAACAAACACTGAATTAAAAAAAAAAAACTCCCAATAAATTTCCAAACAGTGATTCTATCAGAACATTTATTGTGTTATATCTTGCATCATTTACGTCTATTTTTGCATTTGATTGGAATTGTTACTATTTCCATTATACCAACTGAGAATTTATTGCAATGATTTTAAATTCAGTTGAGGTATCTGACATATTATGACATAACATTGATCTTTTATATGAAGTCTTTAGAGCCATATAATATGTTGTTTTTAGATAAATTGCTCAGACCAACCAGTTGGACAGAGGTTATTTATATATACAAATCATCCAAGCACCCAACTCCTAGCCATTTCTAATATAGGCCACATTTCATTAACATTGCTAAATATTATTAAACTGGAAATAAATTAAAGATCCATCTTTGATTGTCAAAAGAATTCCAGGTTCAGTTCCCTCTCAGCCAATTAGATTTCACATAGTATTTTCATCGGTCAGTTGTGGAGGTCTGATTGTTTAAAGCTTTATTTATATAGTGCCTTTTAAAAGTGTTTAAGAAGTATTTTACAGAGAGATGCATATGTGCATTCACAGAAAAGAAAATACAAATACAAACATAAAAGAGATAATTTAGTGAACTTGAGATACTTTTTAAAAGTGCATAATGATAACTTTTGACAACGTTTAATTCAGGTGCGACAGGTGCGAATATCTATAGCGCATGAGCACAGAGAGATTTGAGAGTGCACAGGACACAGTGAGTGAGAGGAGAGACGCGTTTTAAGTGGGCGCACACTCTCTGGGCGAGAGCAGTGTGTATCTGAGCGCACGCCTCCGGTTTTGTGCGAGAGCAAAGGAAATCC